ATCTTTCTCCTTTGCCTAATATCTTCAATAATCAAGACTAATTGTTATAATTCTTCAAAAATGCAAATTCTCAGTTCACCCCTTAGCTTCCCAAACTGACTTGCATCCAAAGCGTTAGTAAATATATCATCCAGTTTCTTCTATGTGGCTACATGTTCCAGAATGACCACTTTGTCTTCAACAAGATCCCTGGTAAAATGATCACAAATGTCAATATGTTTTATCCTGCTATGTTGAACATGATTCTTGGAGATGTTGATAGCACTCAAGTTGTCATAGTATAATGTCATGGCATCCTGCTTGATATTAAACTCCTTCAGGATCTGCTTCATCCAAAGTAGCTGAGAACAGTTGCTTCCTGCTGCAACATATTCAGCCTCAGCAGTGGATATGGACACGCAATTTTGCTTCTTACTGAACCAAGAGATAAGGTTGTTTCCCAAGAAAAAAATCCACCAAAAGTGATTTTTCTATCATCAACACTCCCTACCCAATCATCATCACAATATCCAACAAGCATGGCATTAGAGCCATGTGAATACAGCATACCGTAGTCACTTGTACCATTAACATACTTCAAAATCCTTTTTACTTGATTGGTGTGACTAATTTTTGGTTCAGCTTGATACCTAGCACAAACCCCATGTGATATTAGGTCTGCTAGCTATCAGATACAATAGACTGTCTATCATGCTTCTGTAAAGACTTTGATTCACACCCACCCCATTTTCATCTTTGGATAACTTCAAATGAGTAGGTGTTAGAGTCCTCTTGAGACTGGCGTTCTCCATACCAAACTTCTCCACTATGTTCTTGGCATAATTACTTTGAGATATGAAGATAGAATCTTCCATCTGTCTTACTTGAAGTCCAATAAAATAAATTAATTCTCATACTAGACTCATCTCAAATTCAGATTTTGCCAAAATGTTGGACCATCTGGTATGACATCCCACCAAAGACAATATCATCCACATATATCTAAGCAATCATGAGGTTGCCATCCATTTCTTTAACAAACAAGGTCTTGTCTATTCCTCCTTTTCTGTAACCATTGTTGACCAGGAATTTTGTCATCCTTTCATACCAAACCCTAGGGGTTTGCTTTAGACCATAAAGAGTCTTCTTCAGTTTGTACATATGATTTAGAAAAGTGGGATCACCAAACCCTTTTGAATTTTCAACATACACCTCTTCTTGTAAGAACCCATTCAAGAAGACACTTTTCACATTCATCTGAAACATCTTGAATCTCAGCAAACATGCCACTCCTAGTAATAATCTTATGGATTCAGGACGAGCAGATGGAGCAAAGGTCTCATCAAAATCAATACCCTTAATTTGAGTGTACCCTTGAGCCACAAGACTGACCTTGTTTCTGGTAACCACTCAATTTTCATCAGATTTGTTCTTATTAACCCACTTTGTGCCAATGGTATTTGTTCCCTCAGGTCTAGGAACTAAATCCCAAACTTCACTACTCTTGAACTGCTCCAATTATTCTTGCATGACATTAATAAAAAATTCATCAGTTAGAGCTTCTTTCACATTTTTTGGTTCAACCTTAGAGACAAAACAAGCATTGGATACCACCTCCTTTGATCTAGTAATAAACCAATTCATTAGGATTTCCTATTATGAGTTCCTTGGGATGATCCTTCTAAATTCTGATAGAGGGCCCTTTATTTTCCTGATTTCCATCATCCTTCACAGCAACAGGTTCATTGTTGTTGTTATTATCAGCATCATTATCTGTAGTGGCAGTCACCTGTGGTGATGTTTCAACATCGACTTCAACATATGTTTGCTTCTCTATAGTTGAGTCATCTATCACAACGTTAATAGACTCCATCATTACCTTGGTTCTAGTGTTGAACATTCTATAGACTCTGATGTTTATGGAGTAGCCTAACAATAATTCTTCATCCCTTTTAGGATCCATCTTCCTCCTTTGTTCACGATCATCCAGAATATAACACTTGCTCCCAAAAACATGGAAGTACTTGATAGTAGGCTTTCTTCCCTTCCACAATTCATAAAGAGTAGTTGAGGTACCAGTTCTCAAGGTAACCCTATTATAAATATAGCATGCAGTATTCATTGCTTCAGCTCAAACATGATAAGCCAGGTGTTTAGTATGAAGCATTACTCTAGCAGACTCTTGAAGAGTTCTATTTTTTCGTTCAACCACTCCATTTTGCCGAGGAGTGATGGGAGAAGAAAATTCATGGCTAATACCTTCTGAGGAACATAAATCAGCAAACTTGTTATTCTCAAACTCTTTTCCATGATCACTCATAATCCTTACAATTTTTCTTTCCTTTTCTCTTTGAAGCCTTTGCCATAATTCCTTAAAAACATCAAACACATCTGGTTTTTTCTTGATAAAGTGCTCCCAGATGAATCTTGAGAAATCATCAACCACTACATAAGCATACCTCTTAACCCCGAGACTTTCAACTTGCATAGGACTCATCAAATCTATGTGAAGAAGTTCCAACAGTTTTGAAGTAGTCAGATGTTGGAACTTTGGATGGGATATCTTGGTTTGTTTTCCAATTTGACACTCACCACAAATTCTTCCTTCCTCTATCCTGAGCTTGCGAATTCCTCTAATAGCTTATGTAGACATAATCTTCTTCATACCTTTCAAATGTAAATGACCAAGCTTTTGGTGCCACAGTTGAACTTCATCTTCTTTAGACATCAAACATGTAGGAGAGCATTTTGTTGATTGAGGTGTATGTAAGTAACAGTTATCCTTAGATCTGACTCCCCTCATCAAAACTTCATCATTCTCATTAGTAATCATACATTCAGACTTAGTGAAATTGACTTTCAATCCTTGATCACACAACTGACTTATGCTTATCAAGTTGGCAGTCAATCCTTTTACAAGTAGCACACTCTCAAGACTAGGGAATCTTGAACAGGTTAGTCTTCCAACCTCTTGAATCTCTCCCTTGGCACCATCCCCAAAGGTGACATAGCTAGTAGAGTGTGACCTAATTAGACATGCGATATTGTTAAAAATTAGGGATGGCAACGGGGTGGGGCGAGGGCAGGTTTAACTATACCCGCATCTGCACCCGTCTCTATGTAACATACCCCGTCTCCGCCCCCAAATCCAAACGGGGGTAAAAACTTACCGTCCAGACCCGTCCCCAGTGGAGAACGGGTGCAACAGCACCCGCCCCACCCCCACCTGCAAAAAATTAATTTCTTTTTAATTGCAATAAAAATTAATAATTTAATTTAAAAATTCATTATTTTAATAAATTATTTAATTATATAATTATAATTTTAATTAGTAAATGAATATTAACTTAGTTAATTTGATTATTTTAATTGTAATAAAGACATTAATAATTTAATTAAAAATATAATTAATAAATGAATATTAAAATAAGTAAAATAAGAAAGTTAAAATAAAATGTATTATTCGGGGGTAGAGTGGGTGCAGGCGGGTCTTAATGTCTTCTAGCACCCGCACCTGTATTTAAGAATCAGGTTTCCCTCGCACCCGCATCCGCACCCAATTAACTCGGGTTTTCTCCATTAATTTTTATACGGGTCCGAGCAGATCTGAATTTATTTGTCATCCCTATTAAAAACATAATGTTGGGCGGTTAAGAATAAACACAAACATAAATTAAAGGTAGCAAATATGAAAACATTGGATTGGATGTGTAATATAAAAACATTGAATTTGATGTGAAGTAAGACAGATAAAATTAAAAATGAAAATATTGAAAAAAATAAACTTTGATGATTAATGTATGTAAAAAGAGTCCCTAAAGATATAGATTAGGTGATAAAGAGATAGATTAAATAAAAAGAAGTCCAACAACTTGAGTATGAGGAAAAATTTTAAAAAACTATTAAGAAAAATTACTAAAAAATCTCAAAATTAATGGTTTGAATATATTTGTAATTTAAATAGAATATTGGAAAAATTGATCAGCCAATCACATTTAGAGTATCTTTAGTGAAAGTATCTTTGTGAACTCAAAGTGATTTGTAGGATTTAAAAAATTTATAATTAATTTAAGTTGTTTTTACTTTAATGATAATTGTTTATAAAAAATTAAAACTTGATCCTATATTTTATATTTTTTTAATTGTAATTATTTTTTTAATAATATAAGTAACAATATTATATGTTTTAAAATAAACAGCATACGTTAACTATATTCCAATATAAATTCTTTATAATCATCGTTAACTATAAAAAATTTAACTATTAAAAACCTGCATTAAATATATTCATAGTAAAATAAGCCTAGGTGGTTGTTGTGGATGATCGTACAAAAAGAAAGAGACCGTGACTTTGAGGTGTTTCCTTAACATTCATGATTAACCGTGTAACAATACATGATTTTTTTATTACTAAATGACAACAGAACATTAATAATTGGTAAATCATTGCCATCTGCAATTTCAAACCTAACATTACCAAGGAAAAATCTGAAACTTCAATCAATAACTTATAACTTTTTAAGTGAAAAAATAAACTAAATAATATAACCATACTTCCTTTACAATCTAAAACCTTTTTAAGGTTGGATAGTCGCTTTCCTATCTGCAGACGGTTATACAAATCATAGTCAACTCATGGCACTCTAACTCCTCAAATCTAATTTTTTAGTGTTCCAAGAAGAAGAGGAAGAAAAAGAAAAGGGGCTTAGTTCATCTCAAAATTCCAAATATTTGCAGTTTTAAATTTACACTTTGATTGAGCCCTTGCAACAGACAACCTTTATAGCCAGAAAACCTTGCTCTTGCACATGACGAAGATCTGCCATTGTTATCAAACATCCAAGACATTAGAACTCAAGATATATATTTCATGACAAGCACATAACAACCAAGAAATATACAACACAACAAAATCTACATTAAAAATTGTGTTTCCAATAAAAAATTGATGGCCAAGTCTTATGTGCAGTTACAAACTGAGAGCTTATAGAAGAAAGCAAAACAAAAGTATAGTGATTTGTTCATGCATATCCACTACCAATTGAAAAGGTAACTGAAATAGCGCTACGTCCATACCATTGTTGGTTTTTTCTGAACTCAGTAAGCACTGGATATATGTTCTCAAAGGCTGTGTAAATCTCTTTTCTCAACTATAGAAAGGAAATGAAAACATTAGTCAAATAAGTCAGAAAAATAACAAAATATAAAACTACATAGAAATATATCAAGCTCGTGCACTACCTTGGTTCCTTTCAGGAAAACTTTTCCAGAGTCAAATATATATAAGACTATATTTGGTTGCTTCATTTGGTAGATTAGCCACGGAAATAACTCTGGGTTATACTACAACAGGAACAAACAAACAAACAAGCTTAACGTAAGTATATGACAAAGGAAATTCTTTGGTACCCTGAAACATTGCTAGGTACCGGTGCGGCAGTGCTCTGTAGAGAGAGAACATGGGAGTGTTCAGCTATGAAATATGTGTTTTGCAATGAATATCTCTATGTCAAGGCACCTTTAACTGATAAGAAAAGGGATAATAGACGTTTGACTGTCATCAAAATAAGGATTGGTTTTACACTCCATAGCCCCCACTCTTCAGATTGAAGGCGTGTCCAACACTCCTACGTGTGGTTACAATCAATTAGTTCCCTTTTCTCAAATTATTACTGGTGTCCTCACGTTTTAATGTTTGTGCTTTGTAGGTTTTGCATCTATACTATTCAAATATTTGTTTTCCATAGTTACGACTGTTGGGAAAAAAACTGAACCAAAATCATATATGAAAACCAAATTCTTAATGTCAAATCAGAGTTCCAAACTGGCTTTTTTAATCTAGGTTCGCTAATTTTTTAACTAAGTGCAGTTTGAAAACTAAGTTGGGAGCCACTAAACATCCACCATTACTAAATTGAAGATTTCACACAAATCCCAAATCAACTTGGTATAGTTAGCCTCAGTATGCAAAATCAAACCCTAGTTATCCTCAAAGAACCTTTGATCGCACCATCTCCTTCTTTACGCACCCTAAATTCCAAACCCCCAGTTCCAATCTAGACATCTTCATTGGCACAAACTCTAGTGCTTCATTCATCAAACAATATGGAGGCTCTCCTCTCTGCATGCAATTCCCCCCACCCTAAGTGAGGTATGTGTAAAACGCTCCTGCCGTGATTTTGAATTTTTCAAATTATATAAATTTTGCTTTTGTTTGTTTTTCTGGGTTTTATTATAATTTCTGGGTAATCACTAGTTGTTTGATGAAATACCCAGAGAGACTAAGATTTAGCATCTTCTCATGTATTTAGAATTAGATAAACCTTAGTCCTTTGGGGGTATTTCATCAAGCAATTGGTTACCTCTTAGAAAGAAAATAAACTCCAAAAAACAAACAAAAGCAAAAATATGTATAATTTACAAAATGATAAACACAACAAAAGGACAGTTTTACACATACTCACTTAAGGTGAGGAGGGTTAATTTGCAAGCATAGAGAGCTTGTCTCATAAATTAATGAAGCAGTAGGGTTTTTGCAAGTGAAGATGAATGGTGTGATGAGGATAACTTGCTCAATTTGCATACTAAGCTAACATTCAATTTAGTAACTGATGTTTAGTGGCTTTCAGTTCTGATCACGAACTGCTCCATGTTTAATAAGAGTCCTTCCTAGAGTACTTGAGAATGAGGCATATAATTAAAGAAAGCACAAAAATCATGCAAAATGATAATGGTAAGTATTGTTAAGGCTTGTGGTAAAATAAAACTCACCAAAGGCCTCTCCATGCCCTAACAAGATTTTTTAAAATAATTAATTCAAAGAAACACATAAAAATCATGTGAAAAGAAAATGAGAAGTGTTGTTAGGCTTGTGGTAAAATAAAACTCACCAAAGGCCTTAACATGCCCTAACAAGACTTCTTTTATAAAAAATCATCATATAATTGACAACAGTCTATCTATATAATAATCACAGGATCCAGAGGACCAGAAACAGATATTAATTAGTACAAAAAATTATTGTCAATACCAGTTTTCGATTAAATTCACCAGGCGAAAAAGAAAACAATGGCTTCATTTTGTACTTACACTAGTGCAAGAGACATGGGAATTAGCAAGACGCTCAAGCCATATGGGGAACTTGACATCACAAGATCCAACAATTTCCTGAATCTTAAAATCCTAAAGCACAATACAAAAGGAATTGATCAATCACCAAACTGAGGAAATTGATAAAAACAATTTAAGGTGAAGCAGTTTTAGTGGAGATAGAGCAGGTGTACCTTAAATTTAGTTGGGAAGCCCATCTTCCGAATAATTGCTACATACTGAAGAAGACAGAAGGTTTGAAGCTTTAATATACAGGATGAAAAATGAATGAGCTTAGAAAAGAAAAGAACATTAGTATACCTTACTTGCCGCCAATTTTGACTGGCTCTCACTCTTAGCTCCGGTACAGACCTAACCAACCAGGGAAGTTAATTTTAAAACAAGCTTAAGAAACATGTATCCACTACAAGCGACATGCTAAAATAATAGACTTCCTTCAAAAATAAAATAAGAAAATAGAAATGGATCCTATTGTAAATTCTGCAAATATATTACAACCACCAATAATGCTAAATAAATGAGAAAAGGACAGACATGTTTATGAGTTAACTAACATAGCATTCAATTGGCATAAATAGTGAAAGTGTCTGTCCATTGATCACGTCAGCGTAGTTAACTAAAACAAAGGATTGGATAATGGGATTTAATAACAGAACCATACAACTCCAAATTAATTTGCAATTTTACATAAGTGTTATCTGGGAATGGAAATGACAATAAAATGGATTACCATGACAAGAGCATGGTTGTCAAATTATGAATTGAATAAGAATCACCATCACTAGAGTCCTCTCAACAAAATAAACTCCAACACCAGTCACCACAACAAAGACGGTATGCCTCCTCATCCCTCCTAAATATGTACCACTGTAATTGCAGTAGAATCAGAATTCCCGTTATTCAAGGACAATTCTGGTGATAGTGATATGTGCCTTGATTCCAACACCAAAAAATATCAACCAAGCACTAGTTGGTTGTGAAATTGTATCTTATGATTTCGTCAAAACTACACAAAAGTGCCAGAAGCAACAAAAGGAACATACCATCATTCCAGAAGAATTGATTTGTGCTTTTGATTCAGGTGCCCTGATCCTCATACTCACAGAAGGATGACGCTGCAAAGATTCGAATAACAGATTTCAGCACTGCAAACAAATGACCAACTAGCATGACAAAATATCAAGCATGTAATTATTAATTATTGATTTTAGATAAAAAAATTTAGTGCATGAGTGATTGACATCAATGGTAATGCTGATAGAAAATCTTATAGATCAACCAAGCTTTTCAAAATCACAAATAAACAATGAAATTTATGGAAAAAAAAGATGACAAAACTCCAAAACTAAACAAAAACATAATGAACCTACATTGAAATTGGGATTCAAAAACAAGACATTATGTCGCACATAACTTAATAAACAAAACTTGCCTGGGGATCGTACTCTGCAGTAGGAGCTTGAAGCTTAATGGATTTAAGGTCCAACTTACAGTCCATATTGACAGTTGACACGACATTTCTGGCAATACAAATAGCATATACATTGTTAGATATTATAAAGCACACACAAGCAATCATTATCCAATCAACATATCAGAACATATCTCGCTATACCCACACAAGCAATTCGAACATACAATTTGAGTTCATTGTAGAATAAACCTCATCAGATATTAGAAAAAGCAGTGAATTTTATTATCATTTGCATGTTGTATCCTGAATTATCAATATCATACGCAGGGCATCACTTGCATTCTATGAAGCACAAACACCGGACACAGCGGAGCCAATACCACAAAGCTAATGTCCAAAATATAGGATACCAGAACACTTCTTCATTACAAATAAGCATACTAACATACCAAAAAAAAACTCAAACTCATATTACTCATTTGAATCAATCAAAAGAAACAGTAGATGGCACAGTTACCTATCTTCATATGCTTGCAATCAGAATCAACAGGCAGTGAGGAAGCATATAACTAATTAAAAGAAAACTAGTTACTCACATAATGGTGGGGACAATCCCAGAAGGATGTTTTTCTAGATTCACAGATTGGTTCCCTTCCAATCCTTGGTCAGCCATTTGATGATAATTCTTTTGTATGCTATGCTTCAAAGCCTCACTCACACAAAGCTGAAAATCAACACTAACCATCATGTTCCACATTTAGTCCGTAACAAAATATGAATCATTAGGGGAAAAAAATTCAAACTCAAAGAAAATTTAGCATGATCAGATATTAAAATTAATTGAGATAGCTGGGTATGAGGAATGAGATATGGTGGTTATATAGGAAATTTAATATAGTTATTGATAAGAGTGTAATGGATAACAGACCTTGTGGCGGAGAGAAGTAAGAACTAGGGTTTAGAAGAGGTTGTGAATGCAAGAGCGAAGAAACTTGCATATAGTTTGAGTCAAACCGGAGATGATACAGAGGCGAGACGAGAAGAGCCGGAGACAAGCGACGGCGGGATAGAGGCGGGCTATATATTAGGCGAGACGGTGAGGACAGCGACAATCTGGTGCGTGAGAGAATTTGAAAAACGACTTTTTACTTTTACATTACATATTACACATTAGAGCATCTTTAATGGGAGTAAATTAAATGGGTAAATTAAAATATTTTTTGTGGGTCCAAAGTGATTTGTAGGATTTAAAAAATTTATAGTTGATTTGAGTAGTTTTTACTTTAATGGTGGTTGTCTATAAGAAACCAAAACTTGACCCCCACATTTTATATTTTTTATTCAAATTATCATTAATTTAATTATTCTAATTAAAATACATATAATTTTTTAAATAAAATTTACCTTAAAAACTTAAAAATAATATTAAATATATTTTATTATAAAATTAAAAATGATACAAAATTCACAACAATAATACATAAAAAAAAATTACATTTTCATAGGAATATAATTATAATAAGGATTCGATTGGTTGGGGTCCATTTGATAAATAAATAAGATTGGAAATTGAAAGAAAAAAATTTAAAAGTAAAACTGTGTGTAAAAAAAATTTAAATTTCTATAGAATTTATAGAAGGTAAAAAATGATAATATGATTGTTACTATTTTCAAATATCATATCCTTGTTGGAATATTTGAAATATTTTATTAATATTAAATAATATTATAATAGGTTTCACATAGTTAACGTTAACTATATAGATAATGGGAACTAAATTTTAGTTCATTTGGATGTCATGTCAGCTCTTCTATAATGCAAATTCCTTATTACTAACGTAAGCTATAAAGAATTTTGGTTTGACAACCCTGCGTTAAAGTTGCTCTTAGTGATAAAAAATAGTTTTAAAAATTCTAAAATAATCTTTTACTAAAAAATATACCAGATATTTTACAAAATAGTTGTTGACGTATTGGTGCGGTTCAAAATACGGAATTCATTGTTTGGTTCAATTTAATTCTGAAAAAAATTAAAACGATTCAGTTTGGTTCTTGTAACTAACTTTTATGGTCTAGTTTGGTATAATTTAGTTCTCTTAATAAATTATACCATGAACATGTTGAGATATTAAATATAATGTAAGTTGAATTATGTGGCATAATTTCAAAACTAATTAGGGTTTAGGGTTTGTTATTTAGTTTGTTATTTTACTTATTAGTGAAGTCACTTATGTGTATATAAATAGACACTTTGTAATTCAGTTTTATTCATTCAATAATATCAATCATTATTTCATTATTCTCTCTCTTTCTCTCCTCGCTAAAAATGTCTCACGCACTAACAAATTGGTATCTAGAGCTCCAATTAGATTCTTGATCGTGTTTTCAAGAATCACACGTCAGAGATCGTGTTTCCAGGATCGTAGGTTGTTGTTGATCAATCGCTGCAAAGATGAATAGTAATAGAAATTTATCAATCTCCCTACCAACTATTGACGGCAAGAATTGGCATCGATGGAGAAAACAGATATAATTTCTATTTGGTTTTCATGAAATCCTATAAGTGGTTACTAACGGTGTTCGTGCGCTTGGTGAAGATGCAACCGACGCAAAGAGAACCGCTCACAAGGATGTTAAGAAAAAGGATTGTAAAGCGACATTTTACATCTAGTCGGCGGTTGATGCGGCTAACTTCAACAGAATTGCTCATGCTGAATCGGCGAAGGAGGCATGAGATATTCTTGTCAAGTACTATGAAGGAGACGAGAAAGTCAAGGTTGTCAAGTTGCAAACTTTGCGACGACAATATGAATTGTTCTCGATGAGAGAAGACAGAAGATTGCAGGCTATGTTTAGAAGGTGCAGAAATTCATCCATCTCATGAAGGGTTGTGGTGAAACCCTAACTGATAAGATGATAGTTGAGAAGGTAATGTGTACATTGACCTTTCACTTTGATCACGTTATCGTAGCTATTCAAGAATTCGATAATCTTAAAACCCTAAAACTGGAAGATTTGGTTGGTTCATTGGAGGCGCGTGATATTAGAATTGTCGAAAGGAAATGAGTTCAAGACTCGATACAAGCACTACAAGCTCTATCGTGGAAGAAGAATGGTCGTCCCAACAAGCTCAAAGGAAAAATTGACAAGACTCAGGGCAAGAAGTCTTGGTCGAATTCTCATAAGAATAAGATTGATGATAGAACTTCTGAATCCTTGAATAGAGGGGAAGGAAATTCCTATCAGAAAGACAAAGTATAGAAAAAAAGGTGTGCAGTGTTATAACTGTGAAAAGTTGGGTCACTTGGCCAAACATTATTGGTACATGAAAGACAAGGGATCAACAAAGGGCAAGGACAAAAGAGTAAACCTTGCACGTCAAGATTCAGATGATTCAGATGACATGGTGGTTATGGTTGCAGTTGCAGATGATCATGTCGAGTCTAAGATCTGGTTCCTTGACTCGGGCTGCTCGAATCACATGACTGGTCGAAAAGTATGGTTAGTAGATTTCGATGAGTTGAAGAAGAACAATACCAAACTTGTTGATAATAGCTCGTTGCAAGAAGAATGTACTGGCAACATAGTTATTCAAAGGAGTAATGGAGCAAAAGCCTTGATCAAATATGTACTTTATGTCCTTAGAATAAAGTGCAATATGTTAAGTGTTGGAAAAATGGTCGAAAAGGGGTTCTTAGTGGTTATGGAAGATGGAGCCTTAGAACTTATTGACATCTAGAATAACTTGGTCTTGAAATCTCCTCTGTCGAAGAATAGAACATTTAAAACCATGATCAGTTGGATTTAGGTACAACGTCTGAAAACAGTTATCGACCATAGGAATAGTTGGTTATGGCATATGAGGTTTGTTCATCTAAACTTTAGGTCGCTCAATCAACTAATCACTCGAGATATGATAACTGGTATACCAAGTGTTGCAGTGAGAATCGGATATCAAACTATTAATTAACTTGAATCACAAATCATGAAAGTTCACCACCGAGATTTGATTTATCCAAAGGAAAGGGTAAAAATCGAAGAAAACTCTAAGTGCTCTATGTAACAACACAGCTAGAGGTCTAAGGTTCGGGGGTTGGTTATACCTAGGGAAGGTGTTAGCATCCTAAGTATCTGTAGTACTCTACAGGAACCTCTTGTTAGTATTTGTGTTATGCTAAAGTTTGCTTGCTAAGGAAAAGGTGTGAAGGTAAAGACCTAAGGTATATACACTAAATATGCTCGCCAAGACATCGCATCTCGTGCCTACGTATCCTAACTAGGATGGAATCAGAGCAACCGTAGTTCACCTAACTAGGGATGAGGAACTCTTGATAACGATCAAGGTTCTAAAGGGGAGTAAGTAACCATAACCATGATACTTATGTAGAGTTAACCAACTCTCTAGATCTAAGTTAAAAACTAACTAGGATTGACTTTAACCAAAGTCAAAGGGGAAAGTGAGTATCCATAACCATGATACTCACATAGAGTTTACAAACTCTAAACCTAATTCTAAGTTGCAAAACTAATTGGTTCTAACCAAACTAAAAGGAGGGAAAAAAGTTAGTTGTTAGTGGTTAGAGGGCTCGACAAGAAATCGCATCTTGTGCCTACGTATCCTGACTAGGAATGAGGAATCAGAGCCTCCGTAGTTCGGCCTAACTAGGGATGAGGAACTTTTGACAGTGGTCAAGGTTCCAGAGGGAGGTAAGTATTCATAACCATGATACTTACACGGAGTGCAACGACTCCAAATCTAAACTAGGTTAAACAAGCAAGACTCTCACAAGGTCTCGGGGAAAAGATGGACAAAACTATACAACATGACTTATAAGTCAACAAGGGGGTTCCTTTCCTTTGGAATAAGAGTAAGCAATAACAGAGCTTTAGACATAAATGATGACAATTAAGAATAAATCAAGAGAACATCAAACACTCATCCACATCTCAGGAGCAAAGAGGTGAACCTCCGATAACAAGTGTAAGAGGAACAACAATACATACAAGCATCAAGAGTACTAGACACAAAATAAAAATCGAGCAAGGAGAAATAATATGACAAAAGAACCTGAATTAAATGGATGGTGATGAATACAAAATAATGGGCAAGAGAATAAAATAATCGAAATCGAAATAAAATAGAAAGAAAATCAAAACTTCAAGCTAGGGAATCAAGTTACAAACTCACAAAATTAGAAATCGAATTGACTAAAAAACATACCTAAATAATATCTGAATTATCGAAGGTTAAAAGCCTAAATAATTAAATTTAAATTTGAATCAAAATTATAAAAAGATTAATTTATGAAGTAATTAAAAATATTTTTGAAGTTTTTAATGAATTAATTAACAAAGTTAGATGTACTAACGTTTAGGAAAAGAAAATCTAATACTAATTAATAAAATAAATATTAGATAAACTAATTAACAAAACAAATATTAACAAAAACTTTAAATAACAATAATTAACAGAAATTTAAATAAAAGTTAACTAAGGAATTAAACAAATAATTAATAAAAAAACCTAAAAGAAAATTAAATAATACATGGAGGAGTGCAGAGATAATCATGTAGAGTATATAAAAATCGGAATAGGCTTATAGATGGAGGCCCATGGGGGCGGTTAAATCCAGGTAGATGATTTGGGTCGGGTTGCTTCAAATTAGACTCAAC